AGTACTTACATTTAGCAACTGGAAATTTGAATTGGGGACTATTTTCTTAAGATATTTATCCAAAAGATATTTACTAAGTCTACTGTAGGGCAGACACTGTTCTAGGAACTGGAGCTGTATCTGGGACCAAAACAGGCCACATTGCTGCCCATGTGAAGTTAGTAGTTCAGAGTTCCATAAGACCCATTATCTTGATATAAACTTACATTGGTTATGTCTTGCCTCACTATAGGCATTAATTAAGGCATGTATGCAAATTTCTATTTTTCATCATCTTTTGCCCTTTCATTGTTTAATAAAAGTATGGGAAATTCTATGTTTCAGCGATTCTTCTTTGATTTCTTCTCAGCCCTAACTTCAAAATAACTTTGGGCCGGGCGCTGGTGGCTCACACCTGTAATCCTAGCTACTCAGGAGGCTGAGATCTGAGGATCTCGGTTCAAAGCCAGCCCGGGCAGTAGAGACCATAAGACTCCTATCCCCAATAAACCACCGGAAAACTGGAAGTGGCGCTGTAGCTCAAGTGGTAGAGTGCTTGCCTTGAGCTGAAGAGCTGAGGGACAGTGCCCAGGCCCAGAGTTCAGGCCCAGGACCGACCAAAAAAAATAAAAAAATATAACTTTGGAAGGAACAGCACAGTTGTCAAAGTAAATGCAATTCTTGAATCTCGGAATTCTCTAGGTTCTTCTTATGCCTGTTGACAGTCTCACAAGGCATCATCTGTATGTGCAAAGACTCAAGTTTTCTGTACCTGACCTATTCAAATCTGCTTTGAGTAACTGAAGTTAAAGTGCAGTAGCTCCTCAGAAACTGCTTGCTGCTCATGCAATCACTTTCTGTTCTGTCTTAGGAGGTTTGGGGTGCTCTTGTTAATTCTCAGAATTTTGCAAAACCCAGGTACACATCCACTTAGCCAGAGACCTCCTTCCCAAGGGTTTCTGGGTATGCTTCCTTTAAATGGTTTTCCTTATAGCCCATGTCAACCTGCCTGGCTGCTTGCTCTTGGATCCCCATCTGGTCTCAGTTCTCCTTTTACCTGCTGAGAGCTTGACTTTATATAAATGTGTGCTCATCCATAAAACCATTGCTATGGTATTGTGAATTTCTTAAAGTAATCCTTCCTCTTGCTCTCGGTCACTGATGTTTCTTTTACATCTGTTACTACAGTTCCCAAAAGTCCCTCATGTTATATTTAAAAAAAAAAATTTAGCTGGAAGCCGGTCGCTGGTGGCTCACACCTGTAATCCTAGCTACTCAGGAGGCTGAGATCTGAGGATCGCGGTTCAAAGCCAGCCCGGGCAGGAGAGACCGTGAGACTCCTATCTCCAATAAACCACCAGAAAACCGGAAGTGGTGCTGTGGCTCAAGTGGTAGAGCGCTAGCCTTGAGCTGAAGAGCTGAAGGACAGCGCTCAGGCCCAGAGTTCAAGCCCCACAACCGACCAAAAAAAAAAAATTTTAGCTGGGAACTGGTGACTCATCCCTGTATTCCTAGCTACTCACGGAGCTGAGATATAAAGATTGAGGTATGAAGCCTTGGCAGGAAAGTCTGTGAAATGCCTGTCTCCAAAACTCTACCCAAAAAAAGTCTGAAATGGAAATGTACTTCCAGTGATAGAGTGCTAGCTTTGAGCAGAAAATTGCAGTGACAGCACCCAGCCTGAGTTCAAGTCCCAGAACTAACACAATAAATCTATGCATTTATACATACATACATACATACATAAATGCCTTAAAACATAAGCTTATTTTATACTTTTGTTGCTGTTGTTTGTCGTGGGGCTTGAACTCAGGGCCTGGTTGCTGTCCCTGAACTGTTTTGCTCAAAGCTAGAGCTCCACTCCTTTGAGCCATAGCACCCCTTCTCATTTTCTGGTGGTTAATCTTAGCTACACCCGATATTGAGTGTGAGCCATCAGCACCCAGCTATTTTTTTATTCTTTCTTATAGGAAGCACATTGGTTAATCCTTTTGCATTCACTTTGAATGTAGGGTTTTCATAATCATATTTAGAAAAATCTCATAAATTGTAAGGTTACCATCAATTTATCTTGCATTTCTTTTGGAAGACCAGAGTGGATGAAAGAGCTGGTCTTGGAGCTTGAACACACAGCCTGAGCACTGTCCCTGAGCTTTTTGTTCAAGGCTAGTGCCATAGCTCCATTTTTACCTTTTTTGGTGGTTAATTGGAAATAAGCGTCTTTTGGACTTTCCTGCCTGGGCTGTTACCTTGCATTTATAACAGCTGTGCTTCTCTTACCCCGTACATTCAGAAAATAATCAACCCTTGATTTGTTTTTTTTAAGAAAATGAATATATTTTTTGCATATTAGAAAAAGACTCTTCACTTTTCTCCCAAGCTAGGAGTGGCATGTATCACATAATCTGTAGATTTTTCTATAGGATGCAAAACTTTTCTAGCAGTAGTAAATGATTGCAGTAGTTTCAATTCCAATGGAATTTGGAGGCTCACAGAGAAGATTCTTGGCATTTAGACTGCATTATTGGAATGCTCAGTGAATCATCCCTTTGTGGTTTGACAGAAAGCTTGTCTTTCACTTGCCTTCTTACATTCTTGACCAATCAGAACTAGGTGAGTCATCTTCCCCTCCTGCCTAGGAAGGACAGATTCACTTTCAAGTTGAATAGTTTATTTAGAATTTTACTTGTCTAGTCTTCATAGTTTGTGTTCCTGATTAACCGATTCAAAGCTACTCTAATGAGAGTGTATATGTGGAAGGAATAAAAGGGGAAATAAACATGCCATTCTTGCTTTCTACAGTTAAAATATAATCTTGCTGACCTGTAAGGGAAAAACGTCATATTTTATATAAAATAGTTACTATAATGTTAAATAGACAGTTCTTCAAATGCACAAAAAGATTTAACATGGCTTATAAAAGTTTAGGATTCTTGTAAAAGTAATCATGATAGTTATTGAGCTCAATATATAGTTTAATAAAGGGTGTTTAAGTGTGAGTCATCTATCCAAATGAATAATTTGAAGCAAAATTGCACATACCTATTTTCCTACTATTCTTAAACCTAGAAAACCCACCGGATGTGGTGAGACACATCAGTAATCCAGCTTTTAAGAGGCTGAGATAGGAGGATTACAAATTTGAATCCAACTTGGATTATATAACAAGACCACCTCTCAAATAAGTAGGAAATTCCACTTTGGCTACAACAACCAGCACACAGGACATCACCCTAATTTCCCAGGTCTCCTTTAGTCTTTGTAAACTACTAATCCAGAAATTCAGTTGCTACTATTGAAGTATAGATATACATTGTAAATACTTGAAGTCATAATGTGTTCAAGAATTTTCTCTGAACATTTTCATCTCTTAATTCAGCATTGAAACAAAAAAAAAATATCGACTGGCTTTTTGTTGTTTTTTTATGAAAATGGAGCAATGTGTCATAACAACTGGTAGTGACTGTGAACCAATGGCTCTTAGGGAATATATACATTGAATGTATACAGCCTCTGTAGCTGTAATCCTGAAACAAAACATGCTGTGAGATTAAAAGCCTGGGGATATTATGTGAATTACTTTAAACTTCTTTTTGAGCACTGAAAAATTTAACATATGAAGAAAAATAAAACAGACTTGAAGTAGTTCCCAACAAACAGGCAAGTTATATTTAATGATTTCTTTTGTTCAGTTGTTTTTGACTGGTTCTTTTTTTGTTTGTGGTCCTAGGGTTTGAACTCAGGGCCTTATGCTTGCTAGGTAGGCTCTCTACTACTTGAGCCAGCCTTTGATTGCTTCTTATCTAAGAAGAGATTGCAAGTACCAAGAAAGAATAAATAGAAATAGCTTCAAAGATGTTTATGATCTTTTGGGGAAGACAGAACACATTTTTTATTTTTTATTTTAATTATAATATATGTAATACAGAATAAGTTCACCATCATTTGTCTTAGGAACAAGATTACATGAAAGAAAGAAATGGCCAATAAGCAATGTTTACTTTAAAATATTTACTTAGATATTGAAGAAAATTAAAATAACTTACTTAACTACATATTTTAATTTTTCATCAGTAAATAAATTAGCATACTTTATCATTGTGATGATTAATATGTATAAAGCATCTGAATAGAATACCCAGCCTATAAGTACAATGGCCAGCACACAGCAAATGCTTACTAAGGGACATTTCCTCAAAATAGCATTATGTGCTTTACTAAGAGTGTCTATGAGAAAAATATTATTTCCTACTTAACAATGATGAAATTAACACATAAAGAGGATAATAATTTACCTAAGATTGTCCTATTAACAAGAGGTGGAGCCATAATACACCACAATATAGCATAAACTAGGTATATTATACTATTTATAGTATTTTAACATTCACTTCCCAAAAATTAATTGTATATAGCTATGTGGTAGATATTGTCATTAATAACATTATATTATATAGAGAAAAGTACACAAAATGTGATGAAGATAAGCATACAATCACATATTTGCTTTTCATTTTGACAATGCTTAGTCCATGTATTTAATCATATTTATGAGTAACACCTACTTAATAGATTTGGAATCTATGAATATTACCCCTTCTGATAACATAATCCAGAGAAGACCAAACAAATAATTGGAAAATAATGTGTTTATAAAACCTTGGATTTTTGCACTGTATTATCATTATTATGATGATGATACTAAGTAAAAACATTTCTTATTCTTTCTTGTACTCATTTTTAAAGTTACCCAATGCAATAAACACTAGTCAATAATTTGTGGAGGGGAAGGGAAAAAACAAATTGTTTAAATAGGGGTGGACCCATTGCAACAATGAGATGTACAAGACGTTATGTCGAAAAACGAACTTTACAACTTTGGCACGGGGGGTAGGGGGGAAGGGAGGGGAGATAGGATGGGAAGGGGAAACAAAGGAGGAGGCAACAATGCTTGATAAAAAATGTACTCATTACCTTGCTCATGTAATTGTAACCTCTCTGTACGGTATTTTCACAATAAAAAAAAAAAAAAACCACTAATCCTAATCCTAGATGGACCCTTGCATTCTAAGTACTAGAAAGGAGACAACTCCATAAACCATTTGCTTCCTTTTTGTACAACCATTGAACATTGAGTTTTGAATCAAAGATCCATTATTGCATTTAAACAAAACATTATCAGTTGATTTCATATGCAGTTGGATAATTTTGTATACTTATTTCTGAAGGTCTCAGCCATCTCAACTTTCAGTACAAGTAAAACTGCAAGTCCAATGTTAAGGGTATGTTATTTATTCATTTTTAAAAATCTGGAGGTTTTCTCAGTGCCTATTATCAACCAAGTCATGAAGTGTTAATTGTTTAGTGTCCCTAGGAGAGTCATACGAACACCTTTCTGTTTCATGTTCTTTTCCAACTGAAAGTTAGCCATGTGGTTGTATATGTGGTGAATTCGATTCTGAAAAGAGATGATACAATGTCTTCTTGAACGTTTTATCTAATAAAAGAAATATAATAGGATCTGTGCTACTTCTGGCTGAAGCAAGACAAGTGAGGACATTCTTTGCTTCTATTAAATTATTTAACTGCTCACAGTCTTCTCTTTGGTGCAGAACATAAAAAATGGGTTTAAAAAGACTGTATGGAAGAAAGCAAACTATTAATAGGATCTGGATGACCAAAACATGCCTTTTCACAGACCTGTAAGTCAAATCTTTCTCTGTAATGGATGTACAGGTTCTAACTTTTCTCAGGTGACTGACAAAAGAATAGTATGATATTAGTACAACTAAAAATGAAAATCCAGTAAATGTAGTTCCAATGAGACCTGCAATCTGAGAGACCATGGCTCCTAGTTCCATCTGCCGATTGTAGCACAGGCTCTCTTCTCCTTCTGTGGCCTCCACAATCGAATAGTATAGGATAACGGGGGAAATTATGCCCAGCACGATTCCCCATATGTAAATGCACAGTTTTCTTGCGAAGTTAGGCTGTCGAAATTTTTTCAGTAAATGACCATAAAATAGTTTCTCATGACAGGAATTGTTCTCTTGCTTGGAATCCTTCTTTATCAAGGTTGCATAGCGGCTTATGGCAATCCAGCTTAAAATTAAAAGACTGACAAACATACTTACATGCATGAATAGAGTTCCCAAAAAATTAACCACTCTGCATTGAAAAGATTGATATTCCCAGTAGAAACCTTTCAGGAAGTAGATACTCATGAAGGGCATGGTGCTGCACACAAGTAAGTTTGCAGTGACAAGATGTACCAGGTAGATGTGTGTTGATGTTTTCTTGCTTATTTTTGTTAAAAATACCCACTGAGAGAATGAGTTCCCAACAAGACCAACAATACAAAGGAAGATGTAAATGATTGGCAAAGCCATGGAAGAGATCATAGATGGCTGAATGCATGTCGAGTTATTCATTTATGTAAGATTTTCTTGGGTATTGTCAAAGTATCTAGAACAGAATTGCAGATAATTAAAAATAACGTGAGAGATAACATTTAAAAAACATGAGATGAAATAAAATAGCAATAAAATATATGAAAGGAAAGGGAACACATAGATGGCTTTTTACCTTATCTAATCACAATTGTTCAGTTCAAATAAAAGCAAAAAAGTACTTATTGAGGTAGATGATGCATTTGTCTTTAAAACAAAATTAGATGCAAATAGTTAAATTTCTTGGATTTTTAGCATGTTTATGTTAGAAGAATTATATTCCTTAGATTATGAAGCAATGTGTAAAAGTAGATTTTGCCTAGAACTGTAATTTAAAAAAATAAAGTGTTCCAATTTAAAAAAAAAAAAAACTTAAAGGGCTGGGAATGTGGTTTAGTGGTAGAGTGCTTGCCTAACATGCATAAAGCCCTGAGTTCAATTCTTCAGTACCACATAATCAGAAAAAGCCACAAGTGGCACTGTGGCTCACATGGTAGAGTGCTAGCCTTGAGCGAAAGAATCTCAGGGACAGTGTCCAGGCCCTGAGTTCAAGCCCCTTGGCCAAAAAAAACCTTAAAGTACTCATGAGCAATATATGCTCATCAAGGAAAATGTTACAAAAGTATTTTGTGGCCACATTAATAGAGAGCTAAAACTGATTTTTAATTCACACATTAATTATATATAGTTTAAAAACTGGTATATTTAATGTCTAGATTAAAACACTTCCCTATAATACTACTGGAAGAGCCCCTTTTTATAGTTCAGAAGTAAATTCAGTTCCATCTGAATGGAACAGAAGGTCTTAAATTGAACAAAAAGAAAGCATAGCAAAATCTTAGTTTCATTATCAAAGGGTATCACTCATTTTCAAATTAAAATAGTTAATGCTAAATTCTCATACTTCAATAGAAAATTGAAATGTATTTCTGTAGCTGCTAAGCTTGATGGCTTGAATGTCCTCAATGTGTCCTCATATGTAATTTAGTACCCATTGGTGTTTTTTTTTCAGGATTTGTGTGTATTAGTTTAGAGAATATGACATCTTCATCACTGTATAAATCCAAGTGTAGCTATTGCTTTTTTACCTCTTATTTGTAAATCTCGCTGCAGAGCTGTATGTAAAAGTGCTAAAGAATCACATACAAATTCCTTTTTATATTTGTCTCCTTATTTTTTTTTCAGGTGAGAATAACAAAAGAACATTACTAGATTCTGGTCAAACAAGAACCATATTTCTATTTAGAATATGCCACATCTCTCTCTGCTCTTTACCATACTTCTTGGGACACAGCATTCTCTTTTTCATGATCTATAGCAAGGTTTCTCAATACTTAATTATATTCTCTCTTTTGATAAAAAAAAAAAAAGAAATTACCATGTACAACCTTCCCATCTCAGAATCTAGCCCCTCAGAGCTATTTTGCTTCTTCAGAATCATGATTTTATTTTTTCTGCATCCTGAATTATATTAATATTTTATGTCAACTTTTGCAGAAATAAGGATTTTTTCATATAATTATGAAATAATTTTGTGTGTGTGCTGGTTCTGGGGCTTGAACTCAGCCTGGGCACTGTCCCAGAGCTTTTTTGCTCAAGTCTAGTGCTCTACCTCTTGAGCCACAGCTCCACTTCTGGCCTGTTTTTTTTAATGGGGTGGTTAGTTGGAGATAAGAGTCTTACAGACTTTCTTGCCTAGGCTGTTTTGAAACCATGATGCTTAGATCTCAACCTCCTTTGAGTAGCTAGGATTATAGATGTGAGCCACCAGCACCTGCCATCAAAATACTTTTTTAAACCAAGCAATGTACATCAACGACTTTAAATTTTAATTGCTATTCATTGTCTTTAGGTTCAAACATTGAGACCATTCATTATCGTCCAACCCTATCTCCTTCATTTTATGTATTTGTCATTTTTATTGATTAAATTGTCCCTATAATGAATTTATAACTGGGCAAACTAGTTTTAGTTACTGTAGATGCAGTTTTCAGTATATAAAACCTAACCTGTACCTTCACTAATTTAAAAATCAGTCTAACAGTGATGTGAGCCAGATTATTTAAGAGAAATTCATCTGCTTGAATAATTTTGATTTTGCATTGGGAATGGAGCTTCTTTCTATTGAAGGAAAGCAATAACCCAAGCCTTATATACATAATGCATAATATACTAAAAACAGCAGAAGTAATGGTATGTAGTCCAAACAAATGAGAGGTACAAGACTTTTCAAGGACCTAGCTTTTTCAGACAGATGATGCGTCTGCAGAAAACTCAAGATAACAAATGATCACTAGTGCACCATCTTTAGCTTCTCACATTTTTGTCGATTCTGTACCTCTCCTATAAAGAAAACTTTGATTCTAAAGCTATTAGAAAATTATTTTATAAAATTTGGAAAATACCATTAAATCAAATCAGAATGATGTTATAAATACGGAAAATGTTTCAAAGTCTGCATTTCCCTAGCAAAAGGTCTGTGTCCAGTCATTCTTGTATACATTATGTATATACTGCTAATTTGAGAAATGAAAAATGTTCTACAAGTCTAACAGCTGTTAATAGTTATCTACATAGGTAATAGGCTGATAGCCTTTCTTAATGATTAGATTTTCTAAATATATAAACAGTTTAGTCTTTCTAGAGTTTTTATAGAATTTACTTTTAAGTTAAAAGTGAGTAAATAATCACCCTTACCAGTATGAGTAGCTTATGCCAACTAAGGTTGTCCTGTTCAGAGTAGTGATGCAAATTTCAGACTCTCAGTTCTCTGATCTTCAGTCTTCCAGGATTCTGTTAGTTTAAATAGATTCTTGCATGTCTTTAGCTATGGGAGGGGAAAGGGATTTAAAGAGAATATTGAATAAATTCAGTATTCTAAAAAAAAACACTTCATTTCTCTGTTTCTCTAGTCTAGTCTAGTGAGAGGAAGTTACTGAACAATATACATATACATTATACTTCCTTATTATTATTCCCCGAACACCTACCTCAGTTAGCTTAGTTAGCATGATTGGCTGAAGTTAAGTTCAAAGGTTCAATCCCCCCCGCCCCCACATATAATACAGTGACAGAGAGAACCACTCTACAGTAGCCAATAAAATACTGGTACAAATTTACTTGTAAGCTTTTCTGTAAAATCATTTGTGGATGACTTATTTGCAGTCCATCTTCATCAAGTATAAAAAGAAACTGAACTTTTTAAATTTTCTTACTTATAGCAGTTTACTAGAATCAGAGGTGGATCACTGAGGTGGATTGGAACGTCATGGTCATTGTGGGTTAATAACTCTTTCTTTTAAAGTTGAAGAACTCACTGTAAGCTCAGGCTGCACCCTGAGTCTTGGTTTCTTTGGTTATATTGAACTAACTCAATCAACTCTGATTGCCTTGCGCTGCCGGTATTCAGATTCAGTGTAGTCCATTATTCAGATGATTTCATGATAGATTGGGGGGATCTGGGGAAGTGGCAAATATGCCTCAGATCAAATGAATAGTTACAAAGAACTGTGAAAGCAATTTTATGTACAAAATTGTTTAGTCAGTGAACTAGTAGGTAAAAGCTAAATGTGAAGTCTGGGCAGCCAGACTTCCCTTCCTTGGGTAAACCAGTAGGGGGATCTGTCAGATAGCACAAATCTAATTTCATCAAGCCTGAGCATTTTGGTTATCATTAAATCATTTTAAATTAACAGAACTACCTTGCCATTTCTCATAACCCTTAGCAACTCACCTTACTTTATGCTGACTGCATAAAACCTCTCCGATATGTGCTAATATTTCTCTCTAAAACATAAATGAGAACTTCCTGAACTTTCTGGGTTTTGTCTTGCTTACTATGTGTCTTTGCAATATTTTCTGTCATTTAATTATGACTTGTAACTTATGGCATTGCATACATAGCCATTGATTTCAGAGTAATTTGACTTCTATAATTTCAGTCAGTTTTACTTCGGCATTCTCTTGTTCCAGGAAGAAATTACTTAGCACATTAAAAAAAAGGTTGACACTGGTGGTAAAGCTCAATGGTAGAGTTATATGCTTAGTATTCCTGAGTCCCTATGTTTGATTTCCAACACACACACACACACATACACACACACACACACACACACACACACACGTTTGAAGTAATTTAGAGAAGAACAGAAATGGATACTGTTTCTAGGAGACTAAAAAGTAGTTTTAGTATTACCTGTTGGGGCTTAGCTAAACATCTTCAGTCCAATATGCTTGATTTCCTCCATTGTTCTCAAATTCAGTAAATAAGGCTCAAAAATTAGGCTCAAAAATTAGAAATCATTCCTGATTTCTCTATTTCTTCCACATCTCATACCCATTCAGTTGCTGCTACTGCAGTTTTTACTGTCACCACCATTTATTTGTCATGTCAGAACTTCCGATATGCCATCCTTTCTGCTATTTCATTTACATTTAAGTCTTATTTAATCTCCACAACACCCTGAGAAGTAATTATCTTCATTTTAAAGTCCAAGAAACCTGAAGCTCAGAAAGATCATGTAAGTTTCCCAAGGCCATATAGCCATCTGTCCTCTCAGCATGCATGCCTCCTCTCAAAGCTTGTATTTGGAAAGAACAACTCCATACCTGCAATGCTTTTGTTTTTGTTTTTGTTTTTTTTTAATTTAGCATTGGAAGTCATCACTGTCACTTCTGCAAGTATTGTGTTGGTCACTCAGAGTCAGCCCTGATTCAGTGGGTCGAGGGAAGCCAACTCAGAAATTTGCTTACCACAGATGTTAACAATCAGTGAACCAAAGAATCAGAACTATTGTTAAACCACTTATGGGACAAAAGTATCTAAATGAGATGTAATTTTTGTCAGTTCTTGTTACCAGACTAAAGGTCAGCTTACCACTGGAAAGCTAATACTCAGGAGACAGAAAAAGAAAAAAAGAAAAATACAGTGACTCAAGGGCTGGACCCCAAGAAGTTGGAGAAGGAGGCTGTCATCCTCAAAG